TTAATCGGTCTCCCTCGCCTCTACCACACACACACCCCTTTTTTATTTGCAGTCCACCATGTCCGACCTGCTCCCCATGCCGTCCATGTCTGGCGACGCCACCCCGACCACCGCTGCCCCGGCCACTCCGGCCACTTGGCGTTCGGGTGCCGCCCCGGCTGCCACCCCCGCCACCCGTGGGACTCCCATGCAGACGCCCTTCACCTCCAGCGTGGCCCGCACTCCCCTGGCCGCCAATGTCCCGCGGCCCTCGCTGGCGCAGTTCTACGCCGGCAAGTACGTCATGATCACCGGTGCCACTGGCTTCCTCGGCAAGACTGTCCTCGAGATGCTGCTGCGCCAGTGCCCGGATGTGGCCGGCGCCTATCTGCTTGTCCGCCCCAAGAAGAATGTCGATCCCAAGACCCGTGTTGCTGAGACCGTCAAGAGCGAGGTACGCCCGCATGCTGTGATGGCCGTATCATGGCCGCGGGGGGGGGGGCTTCACTGCCTTGATTGCTGCCCTCCTCCTTTCTTTTCCTTTGGCAGAGCGGCGCCCCTCTCCGCCTGTGCCTCTCTATCACCATGTGTATTAGACCCCCCCCCCCCCGTCAGAGGTGTATATACGCCAGCCGAAGATCTAACTCAACCTCACCCCCCGGTGGCGCTCCCAGCTCTTCAACGTCCTCCGTGAGTCGAACCCCACCTTCACCGACAAGGTCCACTGCGTTCAGGGCGACCTGGTCCTGCCGGGCCTCGGTCTGTCTGAGGAGGATGCGGCCATCCTGCGCGAGCGCATCAATGTCGTCATCCATTGCGCGGCCACCGTCAACTTCAATGAGAAGCTCCGCCTGTCGCTGGATCTGAACGTCCTCTCCGTCCAGCAGGTATGTCCATATCGTTGCCGGCCCTGCCTTTCCCTCTCCTTGTGTGTGTGTGTGTGTGTGTGTATATATACGCATGCACACGTGCATACGGGCCAACAAACCACCCTCTTGGCAGCCACAAAACACCTCCACACTGCCCCAACCATCCCTCCCTCCTCCTGTCCTCTCTTCCTGCGCGCGCTTACACACACTCCACCCGCTCTCCCTCCCTCTCTCTCTCTGTCTCTGTCTCTCTCCTGATGGTCCCCGGGGCGCGGACAAAAATCGGCAGATGCTTGCCTTTGCCCGCCAGTTCAAGCACCTCTCGGCCTTTGTCCACACCTCTACCGCCTACTCCCAGTGTGACCAGGATCACATTGAGGAGCGTTTCTATGAGCCCCCTGTCTCGCCCAATGCCCTGATCAGCCTGGTCCGGTCCCTGCCGGCCACCGCCCCCGACACTCTGGAGGGCAACCTGGCCACCGCCCTCAATGGCCGTCGGCCCAACACCTACACCTTCACCAAGGCCCTGGCCGAGGCGGTCATTCGCACCGAGGGCGCCGACATGCCGGTTGCCGTCATGCGGCCGTCCATCGTCGGTGCCATCCACCGTGGCCCGATCCCCGGCTGGCAGGACAATGTCAATGGCCCTGGCGGCATGTACCTCACCGCTACCATGGGTATCCTGCGTGTGATGCAGGGCCACAATGATGCCATCTCCGACATCATCCCCGTGGACCACTGCGCTTCCATGCTGCTGAGCATTGGTTGGCTGATTGGCACTGGCCCGGCCCGGCCTCCCACCGAGGACCCCCCGGTCTTCAACTGCACCTCCGGCGCCAAGAACCCCATCACCTGGTCCCAGCAGATTGACTACGCCAAGCGCGCCAACAGCGCCAACGTCCACCGCGCCAAGATCGTCCCCATCATCCCCGGTGAGTTCACCTTCGTCGAGTCCAAGGCCGTCTACGAGTTCTGGCGCTTCCTCCTGCACACCATCCCCGCCAAGGCCGCCGATACTGTTCTCCGCCTGCAGGGCAAGAAGCCCGCCATGGCCCGGCTCTACCGTCGCCTGGATAGCAGCATCGGTGCCTACACTCCCTTCACCACCCACGCGTGGACCTGGGACGCCGGCAATGTCGCCGCCCTGGCGGCTGCCATGTCCCCGGAGGATCGCGAGAACTTCAACTTCGATGCCGCCACCATCGACTGGCCCACCTACATCTTCAACTACTACCTCGGCACCGAGCGCTTCATCCCTGCCTCCCTGCCTGGGAACCCCGCTCGCAACCGCGTGCTCAGCTGGCTGCTGGTGGCCTCTTTCTACACGGTGCAGTTCTTCGCCGCGGTCTTCCTCTTCTACTATGTCTTTGGGGAGCGCATTCAGAACCAGCTCTTCGGCGAGGATAGCATCCTTTCGCCGCTCGAGCAGCCGGCCATCATCGAGCTTGAGGACGACTTTGCCGGGGGCATGGCCGCCGGTGGCTCTCCTATTGCCGGTGACCTGTAAGGTAGCCACTTAAGAGAGAGAGAGAGAGAGAGAGAGAGAGAGAGAGAGAGAGAGAGAGAGAGAGAACCTCACACAGCGCGCAGAGAAGAAGGACGGGCGCGCGCACGCGCGCGCCCCCCTGTGCTTCGCTTAGATATTCCGCACATGTTGGCCCCCGCTCTTCCTCCTCCTCCTCTCCTCTCTTCCCCCTCGGCGCTCTCACCGCACCCTGCCCCGGTGCGCGATGTCGTAAATACGAAAGACGACTTCAAAAGTCCCCCTCGCGCGCGCCGAGAGACGAGCGCCCACACACAAGAGAAAGAGACCGAGAGAGTGACCCTCCTCGCTGGCCCCCTGTCTCCATATAGTGCGCGGCCTAGGGGGGCATGTGCTGTACAAGAAGCCCCCCCCTTCCCCCCCCTTCTCG